CTCGGGATCTTGGGCACGCACGCACGCGCGCCCGGCGTGAGTTTTAAGCCACTGGGTCCGGGACACGAACCGCGGTCGACTACATGGGAGTCCAGCGACATAGTCATTACACTAACTGCTGGTTCCCTACATTAACTGCCCTTTTACCTCATTAACCACCTCATCATTTTATCCTCTTTGTTCTAGTCTTTTTACTGTCCTATGTTCCTTATTTTATAATTTCTCTTCTTAGTGATACAACAGAATGTCCTTTTTATTTTATTTAGATTTTTTTTTTTTGTTATAGGACACATGTGCTCACCAGAGAGAGATGGAAAGAGAGGGAAAGGGAGATAACAAACCACACACACACACACACACACACACACACACACACACACGGGGGATGATGGCCATGTTGCAATCCCTTCTCTTCCATTATCCTCTTGGGATTTGGGGCACTTGTGCATACACACCTGGCATGTTTTTCAAGCTGTTGGGTCCAAGACTCAAACCATACAGTTGAGTATGTTGAATCTAGCACCTTAACCACCACACCATTTGCTGGCCCTCTGCAGAGTATCTTTACTCTACTGTATGCTGATATAATATTTTTCAGCTATCAGTATACCAACATGTATATGCCAAGAGGTTCTATTCCTTTTTGCTCTCTTAATTGAGCATCAGGTACCCAAACATTGTTTCTGGGATGCATTAGCTGTATATATTAAAGTGATTTATTTTTATTTTGGTAAAACATACATAAAATAAAGTTTAGCATTTTAACCATTTTTAAGTTTACAGTTCAGTGGTATTAAATATGTACAATGTACAATATGTACAATGTGAATCACTAGAATCTATTTTAAAGATGTACAACTTTTGAAGTGTATATTTTTTCTAGTAGTGAGCTCATATAACTAGTTTTATATTTTACAGAACACATTACTTTTAATCAATAACACTGGCAAAGTAGTGCATCTAAACTATTCAAAAGTATGGATATTCAGCAGCAAAACAAAGCAATCCAAAAAGCACTATATTTATGCAAAGATCAACAATTTTTGGCCTGGCTCTATTCACTAATTATTATGAATCAAATCAATAAGAACCCTGGCATTAATAGACTAAATTGTTTCAGTCAGATCACATTAAATCCAACTCCAGGTTTGCAGTG